AGTGACTGGCATCAGGGCAGGTGCAGGGGGACAGCTTCCTCCTGGACAAAACTCCAATGGACAGGCAGGGACCATTGTCCCTTTTCTGAGCCCTCTCCCACACAGAGCCACATGTCTGAGAATCCATCGACCTGGTTCACACAGGGTGCCCACCCAGGCAATTACCTAAGGCTTCACCCCATCCAACTTACAGGCATGCTTTCCTACACTAGGCCCTGGTACTTAAACTAGGAGTCAAAGCAGCTCTACCTAACACATAGAAACAAACACAGAGAGGCTGCCAAAATGAAGAGACAAAGAAATATGGCCCAAATGAAAGAACAGAAAAAAAACTTCAGAAAAAAACTAAACAAAATGGAGATAAGCAATCTATTAGATGCAGAGTTCAAAACACTGGTTAATAGGCTGCTCAAGGAACCACTGGGTACTTCAACAGCATAAAAAATACCCAGGCAGAAATACAGGTTATGCTAAGAGAAATAAAAATTTACAGCAAATCAACAGTGGACTAGATGAAGCTAAGAATCAAATCAGTGATTTGGAACACAAGGAAGAAAAAAAAGTTCAATCAGAACAGGAAGAGGAAAAAAAATTTAAAAACAAAAAAGAGGATAGGATAAGGAGCCTCTGGGACAACTTTAAACACACCAACATTTGAATCACAGCGGTGCTGGAAAGAAAAGAGAAAAAGTAAGAAACTGAAAACTTATTTGGAAAAAATAATGAAAGAAAATTTCCCTAATTGGGGAAATAAATAGACATACAAGTCCAGGAAGCACAGAGTCCCAAACAAATTGGACCCAAAGAGGACCACACTAAGACACATCATAATTAAAGTGCCAAAGTTTAAAGATAAAGAATCTTAGAAGCAGCAAGAGAAAAGCAGATAGTTACCTACAAATGAGTTTCCATGGACTATCAGCTGATTTCTCAAAAGAAACTTTGCAGGCAAGAAGGGACTGGCAAGAAGTATTCAAAGTGATGAAAAGCAAGGAGCTACAATCTAGATTACTCTATGCAGCCAAGCTATTATTTAGAATGGAAGGGCAGATAAAGTGCTTCCCAGACAAGGTAAATTTAAAGGACTTCATCACCAAGCCCTTATTATATGAAATTTAAAGGGACTTATTTAAGAAAAAGAAGGAGATCAAAGCTATGAACATTAAAATGGTAGTAAATTTACAACAATCAACAGTTGGATCTTAAAAACAAACTAAGCAAGCAAGCAGAATAAAAATAGAATCATAGATATGGAGATCATTTGGAGGGTTATTAGCTGGAAGGGGGAAAGGGGAGAATAGAAGGAAAGCTGCAGGGATTAAGAATTACAAATTGGTAGGTAAAAAATAGGCAGGAAGATGTTAAGAATAGTATTGGAAATGGAGTAGCCAAAGAAATTATACGCATGACCCATTGGCATGAACTAAGGGGGCGATTGCCAGAGGGAATGGGGCGGGGGGGTACCAGGTGGAGGGAGGCAAAGGGGAAACAATTGGGACAACTGTAATAGCATAATGAATAAAATATATTTAAAAAATAAAAATAAATAAAAGAATGCTTAAAAGTATAGTTTAATAAATACATAAATAATAGCCATTTATTATCATTATCAAGGATGATATACTATACATAATTGTATGTACTATACTTTTATATGTCTGGCAGTGCAGTACATTTGTTTACACCAGCATCACATGAGGGATGTGTTGGGCTAAGATGATAAAATGGATAAGACATCACTAGATGATAGGTTTTTTTATTTCCATAATCTTACAGGACTACAATCATATATGTGATCTGTTGTTGATCAGAACATTATTATGCAGCGATAATTGTAATGCCAAGAAACAAGGAGCTCCAAAGAAATGGAGATATGTCAGTATATATAAACAATTGTTCAATTATGAAAAATATTAATATTAGACAAAAATAATTTAAGATATTAGTAATGTGGTTATCTAAAGGAAAAATGATATAAAAAAATGAAAGGCGTTCAAAGCTTAAGCCTCAAAAAAAGCAGAGAATGTGTTCATATGAAAATCAAAGTTGCCTCAGGAAATAATGAGATACAAGAAGGATAATCAGAGACTTACATTAAACATATAAGTAATCAGCTTTCTACCACATGCCAATTTTTATCACAAAGATAATATACTTAACCTTTCTGGTAGATGTAGGGTAAAAGAAGCTATATTTACTCTCATGTTAAATTTTTATTATTTGATGTTGTTAGATATCTATCTCCAATATCCATGTATTTGTGATAAGATCATAAATATTAAAACACACGCTACACTGAGAAATCTGGCCAGACCTGAGAAGTAGTCTATTTGACCACTATTTTCCCTTTTTATTAGTGCATTAAACCAGATAATTTAGCCTATATTCATTATCCGTGTGACTGTCAGACTTCCAAGTGGTGAAAATATGCTAAGAGCAAGGGATGAGAAAAATGGAACCTGAATAAGCTATGTACATTTCTTGGCCCATATGAGAGCACACTGATTGAACAAAGATCATGCATGGACCCTAAGGACAAAAAAATAATATTAATCAAAAGCCTAGAGTCAGCCCAATATACCAAAAAGCCATCTTAATAAGGCTGTCTCTCTACCTGCCTGTCCAAATGCTTTTCCACCTGTGCAGATCCATTCCTGCCTGTCCAGCTGTCTCCACACCTTATCCCTACTTACCTGATCAGCTGTCTCATTCACGGGCCTCATTGCTATCCCACCATTCCCAAATTCTTCCAAGCTATCCAACTGTTTCTCCCACTCGCCAGCCCTCTATCCTGCCTATCCGTCCATCTGTCCCCTCTACTCTTCAGAAGACCTTTTTACCAGCCCCATTATTGTCCCACTCAATTAAATACCTTCCTCGCCCACCAGCCCCAGTTACTCCCAGCTTTCCTAGGAGTTTCCCTTTTCTACCAGCCCCAATTCCTTCTGGCCCACCTGACCATTTACCACAGCCACCCCAAAGTTCCCCAACCATTCCTGATTCTGACTCACAGAGCAAGTTATTTTACAAAACATTCAGGCGCAAACGTTTCCTTCCAGCACAGCATTGTACCCCAGCCACCCTAATGCCTGCCCTTGTTCACCATTCCCTTCCAGCTCAACTGGTTGTTTCCCCAACCCCTTTGGAAGCTTGCCCAGTTTTGAAGCCTTCCAGTTTATTCAGTCATCCCTCTCATCAACTGGTCCCCACTCGTTCTTATAACATTTCATTGCCTGAACATCCTGCTAGCTTAGATCCTTTTCAGTCAGTCCAGCAATCTGTTCCAGACACTACATTGTCAAATCTTCCCCAGGCCTTTGCAGACCACCCACCTGCCTCAATTCTTTCCCATCCATCTCCCTGCCATTCTCCATCCTCTTCTTTGTCTTCATCTCCTTCTCCTTCTACATCCTCTTCTTCAGCATCTGTACAGCATTCTTCTTCGTCCATTCTTACTTCTCCTTCACCTTCTTCCTCTACCTCTCCCTCCTTACCTCCCTCATCTATCCCTCTTTTTTCCTCACCTTTACATTCAACTCCGTCTCCATTTTTTCTTCCAACTTATTTAGATTTCCCCTCTCCAATTTCTCCTGTATCTTCTTCCTTTATGATTTCTTCTTCCTTTCCCCCCATGCTTCACTCCCCCTCTCTTTCTGCCTCCCCGTCTCCTTTTATTCCCATCCATCCCTTTAATCCTCCTCACTGGGGGAAGAAAGTAGAGAAGAGAAGAGAAGCAAGTGGAGTAGCGAAGAAAGAAATAGAGAAGAAAAAGTTGAGAGACGACAACTTTAAAGGTAAATAAATTGAGTTTATTAGATATTTTGTAGATTTAGCAATATTTTGTTTGGGAAGGGTGACTGAAGGAAGGAATATGTAAGAGTAGAAAGGCCTAAAAGGAAGAGACAGAATCATACTTTTCAATGTTCAGAAACTTGTGTTAAATAACTTCTTGCTCACCCTTATTTCCCTGTGGTCACGAAAAGATCGTAAGGAATCTAGTACTCATTGACCCAGACTATTTCAGTTTGTCCAAATAAAGATGTATATGGATATTGGAGATAGGTATATGTCACATACCTCACCTTCGAAAACATTTTTATCTTCATTGACTTGAGTAATTGACTTCAAATGAATTAGAAATAAATGTCCTTGGGATTCACACTGATGGCCCCAGTGCAGCAGCAGTCAGCTTTTTCATATACCTCATCCCCATCCCACCCCACCCAAAATCTTCCATTTGTTCTTTGTTTTTCACTTTGTACATATGCTGAAATGTAACATGATGTAAGTTTCTAGAAGATGCAAATTTCTTATAGATGATACCATCCCTTGATGATTTTGGGGTGGCATTTTGGCACTAAAAGTAGACTCTACATTAAAGGTACCCTTCTGTGACATTTAAAAAACACGCTTATATATGTGATACAACTGAAAACAAATGTATGCAAGATTCCTCCATGGAGTAGGATCAAAGCACCCAAACCCAGTAAACTAAAATGGAAATTCCTGCCTACCCTGATAAGCAATTTTTATATTTTTCTACCTGCCTGAATCTTCAACTAACTTTATTAGAGTTATAGGAATACCTACCAGCCATGACATCAACTCACAGATAAGGGTAATGCAAATTATTATTATCCAGATAGGAAAGCTCTTGAAGAACTGAGGAGTCACTCTGAACATATGCACAAATTCCTCCTGTATCTGTCTTAAGTAATACAGAAATAGGATTTAATAAAGCCATGAATAACTAAGCATTCTTACATGAAGGTGGAGTCCTTTATTAGAACTATAATCCCACAGCCATTTTTCTTTTAATAGTGACTGCCTTAAATTCCCATTTTTTTTTTAATTCCCATTCTAATATGTGTATATATTTCTCCAATATCCTTATATGTGGTTATCTGGACTCACACTACATGAACATGCTATTTTTGTGTGTATAAAAATTAGTTAACTTTATTTAAATGTACTAAGCATTTTTTATGTATGGTTCACAGAACTATAGATAATACCTTACCTTCATCACTATCAAAAAATGATCAGAAGCATCAGAAACATCTCTTATCCAAAATCAATTGTGATAAAGAAATGAAAGAAAACAGCAGGACAAACTTGGCTCCTAACAAAGATGCATTCCAGCTTAAACTAGAGGAAACTCAGAAACTCCTAGAAGAACAGCATCTAAGCAGTTTGCAAGTATGAAACTATAAATATGGTATTAATATTTTAAGATCTAGTAATAATTCTGTCCATTTTGCAGTGTTCTCCACTGAAGAAATGTATGCCATTTGCCAAGTTTAGGCCATGAGAGAGAATGTCAATGAATCAGTACGTATTTATCACAGATTCCAGAAAAATAATTTATTAGTTTTTTGCCCTGCCTTTTACTCATATGTCTCTCTGCATCCTCTATTCTTTTTTATCTCATATTTAGAAAAATAGTCTTTACGAGTGTTATTTTCTGACAAACATGAAAGCTATTTGAAAGTACAAAATAATACGTCACTGTTCGAGAATGGGTTATAAAATGCAACCTAAAAATTATAACACATGTGGTCATTAGGTTCTTAATGAAAATAGAGCACAGTTAACTGGCAATAGTGTTCTATTCTGTCACTTAGGGCACTCTTTATGTTTTTACTCCACCAATGAGTGAGATTTCAGCTGACTTTCCTGAAATGTCCATGCACTTTATTTTTCATGAGTAATTACACACATTTATCAGATTCTTAGTAGGTGATATCAAGATTAAATTAATAAGTTTGGCCTGATATTCAATAGCTAAGCAAAAGTAGCAAGGCTAAAAAAGCAAAACAGGCAACTCTTCTGGCTATGGGAAACTGCCTTCCTGCCATAAATAAGTATAATTCTGAATGAAATGTATGAAACAAATGTTTTTACACATTAGATGATAGGTAGTAGTACAGGATATGATCTTCAAAAAAAAAAGGAAAACAAACGAGATAAACTGTATGATCATACAGGCTTTTCACCTGGACATATTCTCTGGATAAGCCTCAAAAAAATCCATAGGTTACCCACCTGCCTGTCAAAAAAGAAAAAAGAAAGAAAGTAACTTAACACTCTCTTAAAGAAGGCTGAAATCTAAACACAACATAATGTTTGCAATGTCCAACATTCAATCACAATTTCCTAGACGTGAAAATGCAGGAAAATATAGCCCATAAATAGGAAAAAATTAGTCAATATAATCAGATGCAGAAAGGATAGAGATGATGGAATTAACAGGCAGGAATTTAAACCCGTTTTTATAAATATTTTCAAGAAATTAAAGTACAAATGAACATAATGAAAAAGGATATTTTAAAGAAACCAAATAGACCTAGATCGGAAAAGCATAATACTTAAAATGAAAATTTTGCTGGATGGGCTTAACAGTATAGGCATTACAGACAAAAAGATCAATGGACTTGAAGACATGGCAATAAAAATCATCCAATTGAATCACTGATAGAAAAAGGCTGGAAAAAATAAACAGAACTATTGACCTGTGAGACCATATCAAGCAATATAACATATATTTAATTAAAAACCCACGAAGAGGGAATATTTAAAGAAACAGAGACTAAAAATGTTTCAAATTTGATAAAACTATAAATCCACATATTCAAGAAGCTCAATAAACTCCAAGAAGGATAAACATGTACATTGTGAACACACACACACACACACACACACACACACACACACAGGCAAACACATCAAAGGCACATTAAAATCTAATTAAGCCAGAAAAGAAAAAGATACATTATACATTACACCAGCATGAACAAAAATAAGGTGGACCACTACCTTCAAGCCAAAAGACAGTGGAACAACATTTTCATAGTTCTGAGAGTAGAAAAAAATGACCAACCCAGAATCCTGTATCCAAATAAAATATCATTCTGAAATGAAAGCAAAATAGGCATTTTCAAATAAACAACAGTTGAACACCAGTGCACTACACCAGCATGTACACTACAAGAAATGCTACGGGAAGTTTTCAGGCAGAATGATCTATAGTGACAAAAAGCAGATTAGTAGTTATTTTGATGAGTAAGGATTGACTACAGGAGGCATGAGGGAACTTTTGACAGATGGAGAAGTTCTATGTATTGTTTGGTATCGTGGTTATCGGTGAAAAATAGATCAAAACCTATTGAACTATACATTTAAAATAAGTCCATTTTATTGAAGATAAGTATTCTCAGTAAAACTGATTTAAAAACTCAAAGCATGTTAAGTCTAGTACAATTTATATCAGTAATTTACAAGCAAAACTTGAAGCTTACCATGTTTCATTGTTTAGCATTGATGAGAATTCTGGGAAAATGTAGTGAAATCAGAAGTTACTAAACTTCTTTTGAAGTTCTTTGGGAGATGAGGCCATTACAGTCCTATTCAAATGGAAATTTTAGAGACATGGACATCACACTCATTTAGAAGGACCTTCTAACCCAGATTTCGAGGAAGTCCTCCAGAATTTCCAGTTTCCTTATCAAGGAGCTATGCTCTGTTTTGTGCTCCTATTTAGGTTAAGTGACCAACACTTTATAAAGAGATCACTGTACTGAAGGATGTGATAGGCAGGGGCCAAATACTAGTAATAGCAAACTCTTGTGAGTTCATTTTCAAAACTCATTTCACAGTAATATATCAATCTGTAAACAGTAACTATACAAACCAAAATACTACTATAACTGATTTTCTTGATTTCTTAGTTTATTTTTCTGGGCTACAAAAATAATGTATTTTGGTTTAATATCAGGATATTTAACTTTTCTAAAATTTGTGAAAAATCTTAAGGGACATTAATTTTCTTTCTTTGACTCCATTTAACTTTTTTACTATATTTCCAATTTAAAGTCATCTTGAATTTATTTATATGTACGTAATACAAAAGTAATGCATTCTAGATATGTGTAAGAAATTAGAAATAATTTAAAATATTTGCCATACCTTGAAGTGATAATGAAATTTTATTAAAGACTGATAAAGTCCATGAAATTTCAGTGAAATAGTTATGAGAATATCTGTGGGATTTATGGAAATTATTACTCTGCTAAATCTCAAAAAAAGAGCCATTAAAAATCAAGTTTTTGCCCTGACTGGTGTGGCCCAGTGGATTTAGTGCTGTCCTGCGAACCAAAGGGTCACCAATTCGATGCCCAGTCAGGGCACATGCCTGGGTTGCAGGCCAGGCCCCAGTAGCGGGCAACCTGAGAGGCAACCGCACATTGATGTTTCTGTCTCTTTCTCCCTCCCTCCCTCTCTCTCTCTAAAAATTAATTAAGTAAAGTCTTTTTTTTTTTATTTTAATCAAGTTTCCAACCCTAAGTCCATGTTAGAATTACCAGGGGAATTTTTAAATAATAATACCAATGCATGGACCTCATCCAAGTATTAAATCAGCAGGACTTGGGCATAGATATTTTTACAAAGCTTCTTATGTAGTTCAAATATGCAGCCAGAGTTAAGAACTCTGCTGTGTAGGCCATGACATTAACTTATATAAAAAGATGTAGCGCTTCCAACAGGAAATTCACATCAAAAGATCATAGAGCTTTTAGGAACTTCATTCAAGTCCAGTGAATGTTTCAGGGAAAAATACCATTTGTAAATAGCTTTTACAGGGTTTCACATGCTGTTATGAAGTCTTTATACTCTGAATGGAATAGCCATAGCAAAATTATTTTCTAAGCTATAACTGGCTAGAATAACTGGGTAGTTTCTTTAGGCAGCAACTTTACTATTAAAGTCTTTATTAGCTCCCTCTTTTCCACTCTGAGGACTGTGCTAGGGATATAGACTATTTGTATGTTAAGCTGTTAATAATCATTTTACTGTGTTTTACATGCCAAGGAAAATGGGGCTCAGTAATAACAATGAATGATAAATTTTGGCATTTAAAAAATTTCTAAGCTCTAAAACCTTGTTCTTTTATCTTTCAGAAATTTTGTGATGAAGTTTATCAGATAACAAATTCTGAAACCCTCTCAAATGTAGACAGTCTTGAGGCTGGAGAACATGAAAATATCTATTTAACACTTATTAATGAGGAGCCTTCCACATCAATCCAGCAGAGTTCTATTTTCCTTAAATCAACAAATCTGCAATCCACTAATCTAAGCTGCTTTGATGAAGATAAACTGTCATTCTCTAAAACTCAACATATAAATAATTGGTTAATAAATTTAGATGATCTAAATACTCAGAATGTTAAACCTTTCTCAGATACTTTAAGTAAACCTAATGTTCTACATTCTCATGAATGTTTTAATAGTAAAGAACAAAATCCATCTGCTCTATATAGAACTGTGGAAAGAGCCACAAATGCTACCAATAATCTAGTAAGCTTTGTATGTAGTCCACCCCTATTTGTTCATGATAAAAAAAGCAAAAAGACCTCTGAAAATAGCACTATGAGGACAATGGACTCCTCCTCTTCTAAGGCATTCAAAAAGGAGAGACCTGTAGTTATTGAGAACCCAACATTTAAATTCAGCAAATCCTGGAATACTCCAGATTGCCTAACGCAAGAGATGGCTACAATTTCAGAACAAGTGAAATATTCTGAATTAACTCAAGAAAATAGAACTACTTCAATTCCTATTTCATTTGTACCTGTGGCAGCATCTTTATTTTTGCCACCTAATACACAATCATCTAAACCTTTACCAAAGAACAGTATACATATAAGAGAAATCAACCCAGTGCAGTGTTCTGATAAATTAGGAGAATTGAAAGATGCCAAAAATGAAAAGATCAAATATTTTAATTGTAATAAGGATGAATTGCCTATATTTTCAGAGAATTTTCTAACTGCCTATATACCTCACAACTCTGATTCAAAAGGTAAAAAACAGAAAATAACTAAAACATCTACATCATTGTCTGATATAATTTCTAATTATGACTTAGTTGGTCAGCACAAGAAAAGGAGATACAATATTCATGAGAAAAGCAGTGTGAGGTTTCTTAAAAGTATTTTAAAAAAAGAATCTAAATATGAACATGATTATTTCAAGGCACTAGTTATAAATCAAGGCTTTAACATAGGAAATCAAAAAGCAGGAGCTATCAGAGATAGTATTGAATTAACAAAAGAAAAAGGAAAAAGTGCGGAAATTCCAAAGACTATTAAAAAACTGAGGTGGTTTGATGAAACTGGAGATATTACAGGGAAAAATTATGAAGATAACCATTCACTGAAAAACAGAATGGAAATATCTCAACAGTGGTCTCAACCTCTCCACATTCAAACTAATAATGGTGCTACCAACAACATAAGTAGTGTTGCTGCTTGTACTGTAAATTCTACTACTACAAAAAAGTCCAATGATGATTCTGTCTCTGGAAATGTTGCTGCTTTAGGAGGATCTGGAACTAACCCTGCATCTTTGAACTGTTCTATACCTTCAGATTTTAACATTGCTAAGCAAGCCTGGTCAGCCTCAGAAAAAGAGGAAAGTAAATCTCCTATACACAGCGGTAATTCTAAAACTCAGAAAGCTAATCTACAAAGAGATAAAACAAAGGTAATTAGAACAACATCTGCTAAAGTTCAATCAGGGTTTGTATATCCAAACAGAAAAGGCACTGTTATTCGAACACAATCTGCAAGCAACGCCAACACATTTTTACAAGCTCAGGGTAAATTAATTGTACCTCATCCTCCTAAACCTCCATCAAATATTAGGAGTGATAAAAATATACAGGTATCTCAGTGTCAATCAGAAATGCAAGATTCTCAAAACATTAGTACAAATAACTATTTTAATTCAAAATATGTGCTTCCAACTGAACACAAGTTGAATCAGTGGAATAAAGAAAGTAATCTTCCACTCTCAGATGTTTGTTCTGACTCAGCCACTGTGATGCCATTTCTACCATATTATTCTTCTGCATGCCAAACTTCGGCAAAAATAAATCATTCAAATGTCACTGAAATCATTGCCCAGCAAGATGGGGCATTATATGGCACCCAAAGGTGTCCTGTTTATCAAGAAAGTCATCACTCTGTGGCTTTTAGACCTATTAAAGAAGAATCTGTTCCCTCATGGAAGAGACAGCATAATATTCTGGGTCAAAATGAAAAGGCTGCTGGTAAGAATAAATTTATATTTTATAGACAAAATGTACATTTAAAATTCATGTGAAATTTTTTTTACTGTGGTATAGCAATATATACCTTATAGATATTAATGTTAAATAACTTTATAGAAACAACTTATCTTCCTTATTATTGTATCCTTGTCTGTCTAGCAGCTGAAATTTTTAAAAGAATTATCCAACCTTTCCTCAACTAAAATTAGAAACTTTTGCTAGCCTCCAGTTTTTCCATGACTTTTCTTGTTAGTTTGAAAGTGAGAGGACAAAGAATGGGGTCTAATTCTTATCCCCTGTCATTCTGTCGTTATCCCTAATATTGTAGTCAAAATGTCTATCAAATCAAAGTAAAAATGTTGTTCAAATTATTCTAAATAGATGAATAAATGTTATAATACTTTCCTTTATTTTTTTAAATGTTTATTAAATTGAGTTGTTATAAGCTAATGATAGGTGTGCCAAACCCTTCTACCCCCTTTCCAAAAGAGTGGCATTTCTACTGTTATGTTATATATGTTGGTTTTCACGTAGAGAAAAAAATGATAGCATTTCTTTAAACATTTTTGGAAATTATTTCCCTACAGAATATCATTGTCCTTTGTAGCTGTTTGATGCCTCATGAAGCTACTTTCCTCTAAGGGAATGGACTAAGCGCCCATAAATTTTTCTACCAGTGGGAATCAGTTGCCTATTGTGGAATAGATAGGACTTGGGGGTACAGGGAGAATCAGAAAAGCAATGCTTTCCTTTTCCCAAAGGTATGAATAAATATTGAAAAATATAAATTGGGAGTTAATTTAAAATTGAATATTTAAAGCCTTCAATTATACCATGAGATTTTAAGAACAAGGGAATTTTTTTTTGTAATTCATCACTGAATCTGCAGGTCCTGACTGTGCATGGAACTTAATAGACACCCAAATTTTTCTTGAATGAATGGGCACAAGCCTTATTGGCAGATGAAAAGCTAAATGCAAAGACTTTAATTGAAAAAATCTTCAATATTTATCTACAAAAACTTAGATTTAAAAAAAATTGTTATCTCTCACTAGAGTAGAATCACGAAAGGACTCTTCCAATCTCACATATTTGTTCTCACTGTGATGCCATCACTTTTTATCCAGGAATTTCAAATGTAACTTTAGTTTTCACACTGCCTCCAAAAGATGAAAGCATGATACAGATTTGACATTCTAAAGTGATAGTGATAGATAAATTACGATGCTTACCTTTTTGAGTTCCTTCTCTGTGCCAGTTACAATGCCAGGTGCTTTATACTTACTGTCTCATTTATAATCTCACAACAATCCTGAGCAGTAAGTATTTTTATAACACCATTGGCAAAGAAAGAAGTAGATTGCTCGAAGGCAAGCTAGTAATAGCAAAATTGATATTTTAATCCAAATATACATAACTCCAAGTTTTATGTTTCTTCTATTAAAACTATATAATAAATATAGTTATTAAGCAGATATATTTCAGAGTCTAAGCTCATCAGAAAAAAATATTAGGCAACATAGTTTGCCAATAGTTTAAGCATAAAAGGGTAGCATATTAAAGTTATATTTTCATTCTCTGATAAAAATATAGATGTTCATCTGGAGAAACCAATATTTAATCAAATGAGGTAGTTCTTAAGGATGTTTATATAAGGGACAGTGGAAAATGTAATGAATTTTAACATTATTCAGCCATGTTTTTAAAGAGATAGACATATTCAAACTGCTGTATATGTCAATACTTCGTAATACAGTGATTATACTTAGAAAATCTAATAACAATACAAATACTTCATATGTTCAGTCATTCAAACTTATCTTTGAAAACAATTTAAATACTAAACATTGTAAATGAAGACTTTACTAATACTGAGTTATAGTTCAATGAGTATCTGTTCATTTTTCTTCCTACTCTCCTACTTACCAGGTCATTTTTATTCTTACACTCAGTGTATCCGGGGTTGGAAATTATGGAGAGCATCTTCCTCTCCATTAGCATTTCCAGAACTCTCAAGCAAAGCTATCCAGTAAAAACTTGATTCCCCTGAAGCTCAAGCCATTCAACTATACTACCTCCTGACTTCTCAAGTCATTCCTTCCCTCAAAGATGTCTTCTGGTTCAGTCTTTTTATGCAGTCTTTGCCAAAATACTGCGATTCAGCATTTATGTGGATGAAAAATCCTACACTGATCTCTATCAATTCTTTCTCATCTCTAATGATTTTCTGTAACATTCTGCCTCAAGTACCCATTCCCTTTGTCATACCCTGGATCTTGTCAACACTCATAACTCCTCTACATCTATAATCAGTAATTCAATTTACTTATCCCCTCTGACTACAATATGGTATCTACACAAGCATATCTAGACTATGGAATAAAATGCAATCTACAGACAGGCCCACATATTTTAGACCCCAGTGCCTAATTTTAGGCAAAAGTGGTACTGCATAACAGGGAGAAAAGACCTGTTTTTTCATTAAATAGTGCTAAAGTCATTTAGATGATCATATGGTACTAGTAAAATGCTCCTTAATTCATGCCATATGTAAAACTCAATTCCAGGTACACTGTAGATATAAATATGAAAAGTGAAAAAGAAATGCTTCTAGAAGATAACATAGGCTTTAGAATGGGCAGAGATTTCTTACCCTGGGTAGAGATTTCTTACCCAGACATAATAACACTAACCATTAAGGAGAAGATTAATAAATTGTACATTAAAATTAAAATTAGGTGTTCAAAATACCAACAAGATATTGAAAAGGCAAACCATGAAGGTGAGGGAAGATATATACAATGTATAATACTGCCAAAGAACTCATATCCCTAGTACATAAAGAATTCCTATAATTAATAAGGAGCAGACAACCCATTTATATTAGTCAGAGTTTGACCAGAGAAACAGAACCAGTAAGATAAGATTTATTGCAAGGGATTGGTTTATGTGAAAATGAGGGCTGTCTAGGAAAGTCTGAAATTTTTAGGGCAGGTCATCAGGTAAGGCGCAGATCAGAACTCAGAGGGGTAAACTAAATTGCTATCCACAAACAGAATTTTTTATTTTCTCAGTCCAGCTTTTAAGCACTTTGAACTGATTGAATCAGGTACATGCACGATTATTTAGGGTAATCTCCCTTACTTAAAGCAAACCAATTATGGATTTAAATAACATCTAAAAAATACCTTTACAGCAACACCTAAATTAGTGTTTGATTGAATGAGAAGTGTAGACTAGGTGACCCATCTGAAACACCATCACACTGATCTCTTTAAAGCCAAAATATTTGAATGAGTTTTCCATAAAAGAGGATAGCCTAGTGAACAATAAACATGAGACGACCTCAGCCTCAGTCCTCAGGAAAATTGGCATTAAAACAATTAAGATAGAGTTTTATTTTGAGGTTTGGTAGTAAAACTATTGTATCTAGAATTTTTATTGAAGGCTAGAAATTTGGCCAGTGCAAACTATATTATTTTTGCAAAAATAGCAAGTTTTTCAGCTATGATAGCAATTAGTAGATAATATTTAAGTTCATGTACGTGAATGGAATATAATTTTAGAATCAGAATATTCTAGAATAGAAATTACCGGAGTGCATCATATGTTGTAAGGATAAATGTTTCACAAAACTGTATTTGCATCCTGGGTCACAATGCAAAATATATTTCTTTCTATGAGGCAGTCAAATCAGAATAAAAAATACTAGCATGGAGAGCAAGGGCTAGAATTTTAGATTTTAGAGATTTAACTACTTGAAGCTAAATCACAGCTTTTGCCCTTGACTAGCCCTGTAACCTTAGGCAAGTTATTTATTCTTTCCTGTGCCTTAATTTATTTGTAACAATAATGATGATAATAGTGCCTATAGCTTTAGAACCACCTGGACAATTATAAATGCTCAACAAATATTAGGTAGAATTATGTTATTATTTCTTACTCTAAAAGGTCAAGTGTTTAGTTTTTAGCCAACTTTCTTAAAAATTGAAAGCTTTTGTGTCTTTGTTATATAGATGAGATTGACATAGTTATATATATAGTTTTATATGTAGTTATAATATATGCATAAAACTATATATATACATATAGCTACAATATAGAAAATATATATATTAGCTATAGTAACAAATTGGATTCAGTATTCAAATTCACATTGTCCAGTACATAATTTAGGGCTAAAAATACTTTCATTTTTTATCTCCTACCTGAACTTTTATCACAGAAGCACACACATATGCTCCCATAATACTTTTCAGGACATTTGTGTGATTACACACATACTTATATTCTGTGCCCCAGACCAATTGAATTTTCTACCTTTCAGCCCCCTAAAACTTCTTAACGTCTTCATCACTGTTAGTTTGTGCCTTTGCACATAATGTTCCTTTTGACTCAAAAAGTCCTTTTCCTTAGGAAACTACTCCTCCTTTAAGACGAAGGTCAGGCATAACCTTCCCTGTGAAACCTGTCTTGATTCTTACAAAGATACTCTATCCTCTCAACTTTTACTTACTTCCGTTTATTGCTCTACATAGTGTATGTGTATTCATTTTACTGTAATAAGCCATTTAAATCCTTCTAAACTAATAGACTCCAAAATTTTTAAGTACCGCTGTTAAAAAATATTTTGAGCACATATATTTATGCCATATGCATGTATTACTATACTAATATCTATATTAAGCACCTTAACCAGAAAAACTTTTAAACACTAAGATAAAGTACAGACTGTTTAAATAATTTTGAAATTTTGTGTTTTATAAATAATACGCTAATTATAAAATAATTTTATATATAAAATATTTTTTCTATTATATCTCATTAATAATCCTCTGAAAACTCAGTTTCAAATATCTTATCAGTTTTGATGACTATTTCATATACCATTGTTAGTTAATGCATCCAAATACAATACACATTTAGGGTGAAGTTTATTATTATAATTTTGGGGTAATTTTATTTGTGATCCTATCTTTGTTATAAACATAATTATACTGTCATTTGCCATTATGTGGCAAAGAGTTGGCAGTAATAATAAGAGATGTGTCAGCTGTGCCTTTCTTATTCACCTGTGTGTGCATTATTTCTACTATCTTTGATCTATGATTTTGCAAAATATATTTTAATTAGTTATATACATAGAAAAATAATACAAATACTCATATACCCACCACTTGCCTTAAAAAATAGAATATCACTCATGTAGTGGAAGCCCTACAAAAGCCTCTTTTAGGCTTTTTCTCATTTTGTAAGAACTCATTCAGATACTACAAAATACCCATAATCTACTTACTAGAGCTCACATAAAATTTAGCACGTTGAAGAAAGCAAAAACACATTAATGAATAACACTGCCAACCTCATACACTTAGAATTTCTACTCTTCCTTGAAGATAACTTTGTTTCTGTGTGCAATAAATGAACTTGCAAACTGATAAGGGTGTTAGTGTTAACCACATACAGATTTCCAGTCTGCAGTTGGAAATCCGGGTGTGCTAAGAGCCAACTTAAACTATACAGGATTTTTGACTGCATGGGTAGTCAGTGCCACTAACACCCCCGACCCTGCATTATTTAAGGCTCAACTGTGTCACCACAATATAAAGTTTAATTATTAATTTTTAGGTCATAAATATAAAGTAAAATTCTAATATGTTCTTCCTGCACAGAAGTGATTTATTTTGGTGTCGCACCACACTCTGGAGGTCACTGCTCTATACTGTAAACCCCTCAAAAGCAGATTTTATTTAACTCATTATTGTAAATGTGCCATGCATAATACATATTAAGAGAATAACATGTAAAATAATAAAAAGTTGCTGACTGAATGAAACAGTTTTCTGTGATGTTTGAAGGTAACTGGAAAGTTTGTGTTGGCTACATTACTACCTACTCAATTTGTATAAATTTGACACTGTGCTGGCATTTTTTAAGATTCTACTGTTATGAGAAGAAAACGAATTATTGAAAATAAAAAGAGGACTCTTTTAGAGCAGAAAAAACAAAACCCTGGATCTGTAGGACAGAAGAGCAGTGAGCAAATAAATGTAAGTACATTGTTCATAAAAATCTCTATTGAATGGTGGAAAATTACTTGGACAACAGAATGTTCTTAAAGGACTGTGCTCTTGCTGTAAACTGTGCACCACAACACAAATATAAGTGTATCCAAAGCTACTGTGAAGCAGCCTCGGAATCCATGCTAGGAGCTTGCTGTACTAAATTAAATTATTTGCTCTACAGCCAACTCTGGGGAGAAAACTGAGGTTATTCATAATAAAGTTATTTAAAAATACATTAAGAAAGAAAAAAGAAAAATAAATCCATGGTTAGAGGAAGGAAGTATGCTAATCATACAGACTAACATAACTCCCTATGTTTAAATATTCTATTTGGATCTGAGCTTCCTGGAAGGCATGGTAAAAAGGAAAATAAGGTCGTATATAGGTCTCAGTGGATACTGATAATGATTTTGTTTGAGGTACACTATTTAAAAGACATTTCCCACTGAGGACCTTAAAGTTCATAATGGACACATCCATATTAACAGTCAATAACAAATGAATCAGGAGTTTCATATGGCTGTTTGAAGTAGAGATCTTTAATAAAAGTCAAAAGCATAATACTATTAATTTTAAAATTAGTGGAGGTACTTCTGTGACAGCCAAGTAAATGTGACCTAAATATGACATTTTCTCAGAGTCTAATTTGATCCAAGGATTGAATTTAAAATAATAAAAAATTCTAGATAGGTGAGTGAATAGCATTTCACTTGGAGTTTCTACTGTAAATATCACTTCTGATATTTCTAATTGAACTGACATAGTGCCTTATGAAGAATTTATATTCCAAGTTGTAGGTTAAGGATTCTATTATTTGTATGTTATAGAAACTATTGATTTTTATATGAACAAGATTGTTAGTATGAAGAGCAATCAACCACAATATATCTTATCAGCAAAACATGTTATTTATGTAAATTAAGTTCTATTACCAGTATATTCTTAAGCTTTAATACCAAACATAGTACTTATTATAAACATAAGTCCTTTTTTTAACTTCCATGTTGTTCACATCAAACATCTCAAAATCTATAAATTGAACAAAATTTTTTCTTTATTTTTATTAATATATTTTAAATTTAAAATATGTAGTTGTTATAACAAAAAAATAAACACACTAAATTTTAAATGGCTATTATTAGTGCCCTCTCTAAATTCATCTTTATTTTTCTGGGTCTTATTCTGTTCTTCTTTGTCTTCCTCCTTTACATTCTATATTATGGTCTTTAGAATTCCATTTTTGTCCTTCTTTCCAGAAGCCATACTTCTGCTTTCACATACACATCTTCTACTCACATACCCACTTCACACATGCTCCAAAGTTAGCTTTAAAATATAAGTTAGTGTGTTCTTGTATCAAAATCAAGTTTGAAGTTTGTTTTTTTTTTAATTTTATTGTTTTGCTTTGATTTGGGGTTGAGGGGGTGGTTTCTGGTTTTTACTCGAACTGTGGGGTTCAGTTACTATAGCACTGGCCTGTCACCTTGTATTAGGAAATGTATTTTATCACCCCAGAATTCTCCCAGCCCACTACTTCTATGTGGAATCTAAGAGATCAATGAAAGACGGTAAAAGCACAATTACCACTTTGTGCCAGGGTCTCAAGCCTATAGTAGAGATGAGGCATGAGACAAGGCTATGAGTGCTACTGAAGGAGGGCTATTGCAGAAACCCGCATCAGTACTCTTCAGATCAGACTGAACAAAGGCGAGGTAGTCATAGCCTGGCAGTTTTATCGGTGAAAAAGTCGGTTCTTAAACTGGAGCAGAATGGGGATAAGGAAGCAAAGTAGAACATAGCCAAGGAAGGAGAGTTTGTATCCCTCAGGGAGTGCCAAATGGGTATACTAATTGCCAGTGCTCTGAGATTGCCCATTTCCCTGTTCTATGCAACTTTGAGGCAGCTATTTTTTATTTAAGTTTTGTCATCTAAGATACTTGACCTATCCTTGGCAATAGCCATAATCTGAGGCTTTAAGCTAGTACGTGTGATTCACCCTTACTGTGATAAATCAACTAGATTATAAACCTTAAGGTAATTTTTTTTAACTTTTCTTTGATTAACACTTTTGATTACTGCCCAGCTTCCCAAATATCCAAGACAACAATGCAACCTGAAAAGTTTTCAAAGTTGACATAAAGCATTTTTTTAATATTCAGATATCACGGAAAGGCCTTATCTCAGTAATTCTTGATGTCTACTTCAAAAAGAAAAAAGAAAATATACAAGTTACATGAACAGTGCTAGCTGAAAATATATATAGCAAATAATACTTTTTAAAAAGTCAGTGTATAAAACATGAATTTTAAATACAGAATTATGTTGATTTAATATTTTATTTTTATAGAATTTTGGACAAAGTGTCCAGCTAAGTTCAAGTCAGCCAAAACAAACTACAAGGGGTACTTCTAATACTGAAGAAGGTATGTTTTAGTTTAAACGTTTTCCTCTGATCTTTGTTCCCGGTGATTTTTTTTCTTATATCTATTTTTCTCAAATACTTACATACTATGTGAGTGTTAAACTACATTGGGACTTAATTCTACTTACCCTGCACATTTAAATTGTTGCATTTTTCTTTATTCTAAGTAATAATTTACGAAATATCTTACTTCATCAAGCCTTTTCCTGACTTTCAATTATTTCCATAAAGTAGATTCCCAGAATTAAAATTACAGTAATTGGCATATAATTGGTACCTAACAAATATGTATTGAATGAAAATCTGTGTATTAAGTAAAGCCTGGATCAAAGCATATCATTTTTATAGTTTTTCATACATATTTCTGAAGTATTTTCTTGACTGCATTATTATTCAAAATTTTTCTGGGGTGTGTGCTAACTTCAGGTAAATCACTTCTATTATTTGCTTATATCACAGGAAAAGAAATGGTGTTCTATTAATTTTGATTTATACATCGCTTATTAATGTGCTTAATTGTTTTTGTATGGATATTTATTTTTGGTGAGTTATTTCTTCATATTCTTTTTCCCAGTTGATATTGGAGTTTCTGTATTTTCTTACTTATTTCTATAAATTTCTTTTTTATCCCCACCCAAAGACATGCTTATTGAGTTTGAGAGATGGAGGAAGGGAGGGAAAGAAACATATGTGAGAAACATCAGCTGGTTGCCTCTCCTATGCACCCTGTCTGGGGACCAAACCTGCAAACTAGACATGTGCCCTGACCGGGATTCAAACCCACAACTTTTTTATTTACAGGACAGTGCTCCAAGCAACTGAGCCACTCCAGCCAGGGCTATAATATTTTTAAATACCAAGAATTCTAATTTTTATATTAGCTGAAATTATTTCTACTATTTTATTATTTGCATTTCATTGCACTTTTATTTTTACATAAAGAATTCTTTTTTTGTATTTTTCAATCAATAAATGATTATTGAGAGCTAATTTCCTGCCTGCAACCAAACATTGGATATACATAATGAACAAAACATAACAACAGTCTTGTCCTTCAAAAATTTAAAGTCTATTAAAGAAGACTGGCTAGCCTTAAACATGTTGTTAGTCTTTTTTACTGATTTCTTCATTAGTTTTAAGCTCAAAAAAGTCTCAATATAGAAATTTAGAATTTTTTTCTTCTAGATTGCTTAATAGTTTGATTCATTAAATTTAATTCTTTAATTTCTTTAGTATTTGTTTAAATGGATGGTGTGGAGTTAAACTCCAAAATCTTTTATAAACAACAAACTAATTTATTGCATCATCTTTTTTTCTTTCATTTTTGATTGTTATATTCTTATAATTTGATCTGTTTCTAGGCTATCCTGTCAGCTGATCATCTAACTTTTCTAGTCTTTCTATAAGTTTGTTTTCTCTCACTCTTTTATTTATAAATCATCATAATTGCTATTACAATGGCAATCTATCTTCTTTTTGTACTACCAGTGAGTGACAAAAATAATAATAATTTAAACAATGTATTTTTTTCTTTACTTCAGACAACACTCTAGGAATTCTTATTACCTCAATGCCATCATTTGAATATCTTTTTTTTTAAATTAGTTTTGGAGAAATTCTAGGTATAGAGGATTCTGATAAACAAAATGCAAAGTTAGAGAAGATTCACTGGGTTTCTGTTAGTGAAATGCATATATACAGACATGTCAGTTAAGTATGTATAAGTGCTGATCCTGAAGACAAATAGGGATCAAAGAATCATTAATGTAAAGTTTCTTTAGTTTCAGACAGTACTGCTGAGTTTTTGACAGCTGAAAACCTAGTGAAATCTTCAGTGCCTGAGGATGAAATTCTAATTGTCATGAGTAGCAAGCAGCTGCAGAAACCAGATCTGGCTTTAAATAAGACCCAGCAATTCAACATTTGTGCACTATCAGCTGAAGAACAGAAGATTCTACAGTCCCTTGATCGTCTTAATGAAAGGTTATACTGTAAGTATGGAAGAAGTGTTATATTTTGTACTTAGACTATTTTAATTTAAAATTTAATTTAACTAAAAAATTGAAAATAAAAATTTAAAATGTATCTAGATTATCATCTCTGAATGTACATAACAAAATATATTTGAATGTGCTATTATACCATATTCATATTCTATTTACAAACAATATATTTAAAACGTAAAATAATGGAAAAGCTTAAAGTAAAAAAGATAGAAAATATGGAACAAGCAAGTTTTAACCAAAGGAAACTGGTTGAGATGTATTATCATCAGGCAAAAATAACTATAAAACAGCATTACTGTATATACACAAAAAGTAACTTTGTGATAGTCAAAGTTTTAATTCTAGAGAAATATATAAAATATTTTCACTTTGTATGCATATAAGAACATAGCTTGAAAATACATAAAATGTTGTTTCGCCATGGTGAGAGACTTTTTTTACATTGTTAGTGATAGACTAGGTCAGAAAAATCAAATAGATAATATAATAAACATGATTAACAAACTTGATCGAAGGGACATGTTTTGGGGTTTTTTATATCATTTACAAATCCGCTTCAAAATATCTGAAATTTTGGGTTTGGAATGAGGTTTATGCTCAATTCGGCATTTTGCTTTAAATTTGAAGCCATTTTTTTCTTATGTCAACAATGTCACCTGCAGTATCAACTCATTTTCTGAAAATCTTCTGTAAATTCAACTCTGGATTCAAAATTTTTCATCACTTTTTAAAAATTATTATTGTTTTTCCTACATGTCCCTTTCAATGCTCAACTAAGGCCATACTCTGCTGAGCATTTGGCAAATCAGTCAAAGGAACATATTCTTTGCCAGCCCACACAGAACATTTATAAAAATGGACTTTATATTATACCATAAAACAAGCTTTGATATATTTCAAAGGTTTGAAGTTATACCCGTCGTCTGACAACAATGCAATTTAACTAAACATGAATAGCAAAATGAGAACCACATTTCTAAATAAATCATGGTTCTGAAAAAATACTATAATGGAAATTTCAAAATATTTAGACATGAACAGTAATAACAGTATTTTATATATGAATGTATTTATCCTGGTCTCTTAACCTTGACACTACTGGCATTTGAGACAAGATAATCCTTTCTTGTAGGGGGCTGTCCTGTGCATTGTGAGGTGTAGCAGCACCTCTGACCTCTGTATCCACTGAATGCTCTGGTACCTCCCAGTCATAACAAGGGTCTCCTGACATTGCCAAATGTTCCTGGAGTAGCAAAAAATCAAGTATGATTAGAACCACTGGAAAAAAATTCCAACACATATATATACGCATATATTTCTGTATAATGCATATACAGAAATACATGTGTATGTATGTATTGTATGTGGATTTCACTTCTACTTAAAATGTAAAAAACTGTCATGTGTCAGTCCCACCCTAAGACTAAGAAAAAGTAAATAAACAACAAAAGCATAGCTTTTCTTGAATGAATTAGAGAGCTGAAGTCACAGCCCAACCAAGTAACCTGACACCCAAGGAAAGACTGGAATTTCCAGAGACAGGCTGTGATTACTGGCTCACCTGTGGCAGAGTATGAGAGAAAGAAATGCCAGGTTTCATAAAAGCCAATATTAGGAATTCTGCTTAGATTTTTTTAGACAAATTACAAAAGGACAAGGGTGACCTATTGTGAGAATAAAAAATCCCTAGGAATCAAAGGCAAAGAAGAGTTCACAACCACTCAGTGTGTTTTCCATGAATCTACGTTCATGAGAAGATTAAGGGGCAGAGCAGGAAATTAGAGAAATCCTTCCCTCCGTGGGGCAGCCTGGAGGAGGGGAGCAGCTATTGCTTTAGGAAAGGCAGGAAGCCCCATGCAGAACCTCCTTTCCTACAGAATAAAGGCCAAAAGGTCTTAGAACAAAGGCAGCAAACATTGCCATCTTCCCCCAGGGCACAAGTAAAGACAGAGTAGCGGGGAAGGTAAAAGGAAAAAAAAAAAAGCCTTTTCCTGTGGTAGAGTAGCAAAAGACAGGCGTGGGTCCAGATCGTTAGAGGCATCCTGCTGCTTAGAGGAGGGGCACAAAATGTTCTTGCACAATACCAGTGAAAGCTCAAGGAAAGTTGACTGCCAAGAGAAGGAGCAGGATGACTAGGCAGGTACAGAGAATATTCCTAAAACCAAGTCTGGACCAGGACAACAGAAAACCCCTCCTACTCTCCCACCACAAGGCCAGCAAGTGGTAACAAACAAGTGAAAAAAATCTTCTGGAAGAGAAATAATAACACAGAGAGCCTCCTTTTATTGTGCGGACACACGGAAAGGCCAAAGCTAAGAGTAGAGACCATTGAAGAAGATAAAAAATAACCTCTATGAACCCTGCAGAAACAAACAAAAAACAAAAACAAAAAACAAACCAACACCAAAGGAATTTGAAACCAGTAGTGTACTGAAGGTAACCATAGCAACAGCAAAACCCAAACCCAGCTCAATTCCTAAAGTGACTAACTACTGCACAAAAAGGAGTTGCCTAGCAGAAGAGGCATTCCCATTTCCAGGCTTAAATGCTATTTACCTCAGTACCTACTATTCCATACATGAAGTCGAGCATTCAGACAAAATTATCTCACACACACACACACACACACACACACACACACACACACACACACACACACAAAAGAGCAAAGGCAAAACACAATGTCAAGCGTCAGGGGAATATACAGACACAGAGATGACCCAGATGTGAGAACTGAGGTAATTTTTAATTATAACTAATAACAGATTATAGTGGAAAAGTGGACAATATAGGACAGATAGACAACATGCATGAACAGATGGAGAATTTCAGCAGAGATAAAAACTAGAAGAATCAAATAGGAAAGTGAGAAGTAAAAACTGTAACAGAAGTAAAAAAATGTTTTCTATGGGCTAATCAGTAGACTCAAAACAGCTAAGGAAAGAAGGATATGAGGAAAAATAATAGAAATTTTCCAAACTGAAACACCAAGAGAAAACAAAAAAGTAGGGGGGAAAATGAGAACAGTTAATCTGAGAGGTGTGGAACAATATAAACTAGTCTAACATGTAATTGGAATCCCAGTGTGAGAAATTGCAGCTTTCTTTTGCTGAAGAAGGAGCTACTGATTTCACAAGAAGTTGTGTTGCCGAACAAATGGACCCACGGGGCGGGGGGTGGATACCCAGGTGCTATTACCGGAACAACGACACCCCTCTTCCCTGGGGTCCCTCGGTTGTAGGTCCTTTGCCTGCTGCCCTTGGAATTATGGCTCTGAATGGCAGAGTTTGGTGAAAAGGAAAGGAACTATTTATTCAAAAGTTATACAGGTTTGATTAATGGCTAAAGGTTGCTCTTAAACCTCAAAATCTCTTTAAAACAATCACCAGCATACACACGGTCCTGCCTTCCCCGCTTTGCCCAGTTAGGCCAGTCAGGGGTACCGTCCTTAAGAAGAAAGAGAACAGAAGTCCGGGGCTCAGCTACACAGGCCTCTCAAGGTTCTCAGCACCATCCGTTGTGTCGCTGCCATCTCCAGCTCTTAATCCATAACCATGTGGCACCTTCTCCTGGCCCAGTAGCAAGAGTCCTTTCTCCCCTCTTTCTTCCCGCGTGGCCTTCACACTGTTCTCCAGAGTCTGTGTCTCTTTGTCTCTCCTGCAGGCCCCTGTCTCTCCTCTTTTCCTGCAGTTACATTCATTATTAAGTCTTTTAAACCTTCCTGATTAGTTTTGGTGATAGGCAAAATTACCCTTTTTGCATATGAGGAATGAAGCTATCCTGTTATTGACATGCAAAATGCTCTCAATGGCCCTGCTCAAGGCTCCCATCCCCCAAGATGGCCCGCCCTGGGGTGGGGAAAATATTTTTCTTGGACACTCCAATCTCTAAACCCCGTCACAAATACCCTTTGGGGGGCCCTGGCTGTGCCCCGTTACAGTTGGATTTAAGCAGAGCCCCTCTCATATAGGGGGAAAACCTGTTCTTGGATGCCAGCTATGAAGACCTTATGGGGTAATTTTGAGACAAGCTGTTTGTCACTCAATATTGAAATAATTGGATACTAAATAGAAAGAAATTAAATTGAACTACTAAATACCACACATAAAAATAAGTCCCAAGGTGATTAAGGATTAAATGTGAAAAATATATATATAAAGCTTTTAGGGGATAATATAAGTAAGTATTTTCTAGCCTCAGGGTAAGGAAGGATTTTTTAAGCAGAACAAAAGGAACATAATCCATAGAGGAGAAAATTGATAAATTTGACTATATTAAAATTACAAACTTCTGTTTATATAAAAAAATCATTAAAAGAATAAAGACAGGCCACAAATATGAGAAACTATAACACACTGAATAAAGGACTCATTAACAATATGTAAAGAACTCCTATAAATCAATAAGGAAAAAAGAACTCATAAAAAGAGGGCAAAAAAAGACTTGAACAGGAATTTCACAACAAAGGAGATGCAAATTAGAACAATGAGATACGGTTATATCCTCATCAGAAAGACCTAAATTTAAAAGCCTGGCAATGCTAAGTGTTGGTAAAAACGTACAGCAATTGGAGCTCACGTATAATGCTGTCAGAACATAAACTGGAACAACCTACTTAGGAAATGTTTGCCACTACCTAATAAATTGAACATGAACATACCCTACAACCAGCAATTTCACTTCTAGATCCATATCCTAGATAAAACCCTGCACATGTACATCAGGAGATTTGTATAAATATATAAAGGTTTTCATTGTTTAAAAGCCAAACTTTGAAACCTTTAAATGTACTGGAATGCTATTCAGCAAGGAAAATGAACACACTACATCTACACACATCATCATGGATGAATCTAAAAATATATAATTTTGAGCAAAGTAAGGAAAATCACAGGAGAATAAATACAGTACAATTTATGTGAAGTTCAGAAAGAGAGAAAATGAAACAATATACTTTGGGGAATGTAAATATATGTGTTGAAACTATAAAGAAACAAAGTCAGTATAGCGGGTTACCTCTGTGAGCAAGGGAAAAAGTACAGTCCACAGGGCAGTGTGGAGGTAGGGCGCCCAAGGAGCTTCTGAAGAAGGGATAACATTCAAATGTATTGACCGAGGTAGTTACACAGACATTAGCTTTATTATTCTTAATTAAACTATGCATAAATGTTTTATATACTCTTGTGTTAACTCTAAAATTAGTTTTTTAAATAATATATTAATAAAAGGTTGCTACAACCACAAAAGCGAGATAGAACTAAAGCTGTAATTTTAAGGTGCAAAGTTATGCAGTTAAAAAGAAAAAACCCTCAAGTCAGTTTTCTGGAGGGGTTTTTTTTTTCCCCTATTATATAGTTGCACATATTTAAATGCTTCCTGTAAAAATATCTGCCTGAATTTTTCTTTTCTTTTACCAAGACTCTTGATATCATATGGACAAAAGCCTAAACATTGAAAAGGCAAGAGTTGACCAAATTACTCAACTTTTTTGTGCCTCAATAGCTAAATAAACCTCTCCTGGGTTGCTCTAAGATTGATATTCACATCTTTGTTTAAAAAAACAAAAAACAAAAAGAAAAAAAGGAAAGAAAACCTAAGCATTTGAATAAAGATTGTTAAAGAATAGTCAAGTATTAGATATTCCTTTTATATCAACATTAAGTTTTATGTATTGTTTTTAATCAAATTACTTCTATTCCCTAACCTAATATAAGTGTGAAGACTACTTCTGGGAACAATAGAAAAAAAGTCTTTTATTCAATTTTGAATGTTTTGACACATCAGAATTTCATATTTGATTTAGTCATTCTTCTCTTTCAATATGCATAACTAAATTATTTTTGTATCATGGTGTAATTATTTTAGATGTGCAAGAAACCATTTGCAAAAATCCATCCATCAAAAATAACTTACAAATGATACCATTTCTGGTAAGTATTTTAAGAAGCTTTTTTTCTTTTTTAGGAAACTTCTTGATTTTCTGTATAAGAATCTTATATTGATATTAATTTTTGAGATTGGTTTTTAGGGGGCTTTTCTCCCCAATCAACTTTTAATTATGAGGTATTCTGTTAGAATCAAATAGCCTCTCATTTAAAAAAATTACAATGTAAATATTTTTATATTCAGAATATTTCATTAGTCATGGGAACAGAAACAGGTATCAGTGCACTACTCTTCAAATAATTTTAAGTATGTAGCCTAATTGGAAGATTGATAAGAAACTTACGTTGGCAATGATACCATCCTTGAGCATATCCCTTCCATGTCTTCAGAGTTCAAAACTAGACATTACTATTTTGAATTTTGGTTTTTTTGCCTTGACAATAAATTCTGGTAAAGATACACATATAAATGAAAAACAGTGATTGAGAAATTTTCAGTCTGAAAGGGAGAAAGATACACAAGGATTGTATATCCAAATAACTGAGAGAAGGTAAGCTAACACTGTGGTGCACAGTCTGAGGAAATCACAGAAGTCATGTCTGCTGGAGGTGATCAAGAGACATTCTGGTTTATAGAAAGGGCACACCCCTTTTTATATTATGTTTTGTTAGAGAATTCATTGCATGTTTGCTCAATTGTTTTTTCATTATGTGCCTTCAATTCTGAAGTCCTGACAGGAAAAAGTAAGATTATGCAACTATACTTCATTTCTTATTATTTGCTTTTACATGAAGTTATATATATCTTATCCCTGCTTCAGATTTTTGCTATGCTCTGAGTTGATAGTGAATAACAGTGAGTAAGAAAAAGACTGTCCCTGCCCTCTTGAAGCTTATTATGGCTATGTTTCTTTAAAAATGGGCTTTTTGGTGTGGCATTTTTGATGCTGTGATTTATAGACACAACTCCTTTGGCAATGGTCACTTAGACTCCTGATATATTTTTTCATGGTTACTTTTTACATGCTAGTTTGGTTTTTGGCTCAAATTTCATCATCAATTCAGCAATTTAAGTAATTTTTCAGTGATAATTTTTGTGTCTGAATTTTAACAGTGACCATTTTCTGTTACGACATTTATGATTCTTTACTTTCGTGAGCTAAGACCTCCAGTGACTGAGATCATTCTATACACTTGAGCTCAATTTGAAAACAGTGTACTAACTGCAGAAAACTAACTGATCATGAATTGTAAGTTCTACTCAATAGGAAGAGAATCAGCATACTCCTCTACTGTACACATTGGTGCACTGTGTGACTATATTGCTAAAGTATCTGATGAATAACTGAAAAGGTAATGGTATGGATTAGGGACCAGTGGTAGACTTGAAATCATATTTATCTTACATCTTTTTCATTCTTTATGATATGTAGTAACCATTAGCTTTATTCAGTCTCTTTATCTCCAGACGTATTAGTCTTCCTTATTTTGACATCACTAATGTAAGTCAGAACTCTTCCATTTATTTTTCATGGAAATGGTATAAAATCACAGAATTATCAGCTGCCTATTTAAACAGCTAACATCTCCCTTTCCCATGAAAACTCATTTGCCATATTCTGCATGAGGATTTGAACATTTTATTCTTGTTTTCCCTTCCTTCCTGCTATTTTTATTTTATGTTATACTCTTCGTTTGGATTCACCAATTGTTAACATTTTGTCACACTTGCTTTATCTGATAGATGGATGGATGGATGAATGGATGATGGGTGGATAGAAGAATAGAATAGAACAGAACAGAACAAGAAACATACATACACACAAATATATATTTTAATGAGCTGTTTGAAAGTAATTTGCAAATATAATGATATTTCCCCTCTGAATACATAATCATAAAACCATCATCCCACTCAAGAAATTTAATATTGATAGAGTATTATCTGATACATACTCCATATTCAAAGTTCCTTAGTTGTCTGAAAAATAATGTCTTCTGTGGCTATTTTATTTCTCTGATCAAGATCAAACCCAGGATTATACATAGCATTTGATTGTTGTGTCTCTTAGCCTAGAAAAGTCTCTTTGCTCTTTTTTATCTTTCATGCACAATGACACTTTTATAGAATCCGTACCAGTTGTCTTGTTGAATACACCATGATCTGGATTTGTCAGGTTGTTTTCTCATTATTAGATTCAGGTTAACATTTATGGTCAATTTATAGTTTCAAAGTTTATATTTTTATTGCCTTTATGTTTTCTTTTTATTGCCTGGAATTATTTCTACCTTTCTCTTGTCTTCAGGCCTTCTGTTTAGCTGTTTGTAATTTATTTTGAGTCCAGAAAACATATGTCCAAACTTTTGGAGTTCTGTTTAAAGCAAGAATACATAGGTACTTAAGTGCCCCCTCTGGGAATAAAGTACATGGGCTTTAAGTATAGTTTGGTCTTCTAAAAGCTCTCAAAATGTGTTCCAGGATCCCATTACATTTCAAATAAATAAAATTATTTCATATGAGAGTCCTCAAAAGTCAATACATAACCTTAATTCAAAATATTTTGTATGTATGATCTAAGAGACCACCAAAACTGTACTGTATTTACCAGGACAATTGTGGTATAGCCTAGTTCTTCAATAGGGATGTTTTTTAAAAAAGATTTTAAAAAAGATCTCTCCATAAAATGGCAGAAATATCTATTTGGGAGTATTCGTTGTTTTGGAGATGTTGCAGGTAAGTTTGTTATTAATGTTTTTATTTTCTTTTACTTTTAGCTCCAGTGTTTTTATATCCGTATGAACTTATAAAATTTTGTTTTGAAATTGTGATGTGTCATATATCTAGCTTTACAATTTACATATATTGTGTAATTAATTCAGGAACTAAATTTCTCTGCCCAACAACATAATACTGGATTCCTTCCATTGAAAAGTACTATGCCAAATGGTTTCATACATATTCTGTCATTTGATCTTCTAAACTAGGGACAACAAGTAATTTCCTCAAATCTTAAAACTGTTCACTGGCAGACCCAGGATTTACCCCTCTCCCCCTGCAAACTGTGTTCTACTTTTTGTAATTCTTACTTTATTTAATGACACCATCATCCACCAAGTTTCCCAGATAAAAATTTATGTCTCATGCAGACATAAATTTCCCATAGCCCTCATAGCTTCTCATTTTCCCATAGCCCTAGAAATAATTCCTTCTAATAGTACGTAACCAGATGCATCTCAAATCCATCTACTCTCCATTCCTACTGACAATGTCTTAGTTTAAGAATTCATCATGTCTCATCTGGACCATTTCAACAGCCTCCAGGCTTGCACTCTCCAATGCATCACTCATGCAATTATTACCAGAGTAATTCTTTTTAAAACACAAATATGAACACATTACTCTCCTGCTTAGAACCTAACCTCAGTGGTTAACCATTACTGAAAAGATAAAACTCTGGAGAGCTGCATTCAAGACCTTTCCACCCTCACCTCCATTTTCTCCTCACCTCTTCACTTACATCCTGCTGAGTACAGGCTCATCTCCTCAGCTCTCCTTGCGTGCTTCCAGGGCCCGCACTGCTCCCACTGCCTCACAGGAACTGCTCTCTTAAAAGCCTTCCCCTTACTTACTCTTTGAGAATTTACTTTAGTGTCATCCCCTCTAGAAAAGAGTATCCCCTTTAGAAAAGAGTATTTAGTGTCATCCCTTCTAGAAAAGAGTATTCTAGAAAAGGTAATAAAAAGAAAACATAAAGACAATAAAAATATAAACTTTGAAACTATAAATCGACCATAAATGTTAACCTGAATCTAATAATGAGAAAACAACCAGACAAATCCAGATCATGGTGTATTCAACAAGACAACTGGTAAAGAGATTTAGGATGTCTTCCTTTCGGCAGCCATAGCAACCTGAATTTTTTTTTTTTTTTTTTTTTGATAGAAGATCATATTTGTCTCTTCATTGAACAGATTGCCTAAATCTTACCATGTGTCAGGCACTCTGCTAGAGCTGGGACTAGGAAGAGGAAAACACTTTCCTGTCCTCAAGCAGCTTGCATTCTAGTAGAGATAATATACTAACAGTATAGTATAATAGGGTTACTATAGGACATCCTCAAGACAGCTGCCATGATTTTTTTAATGCCAAAACTATGAATCTTAAAAGTAGAATTCTCACTTGGAATATTTTACTTTTTTAAATAAAATAAAAATAATGGATTTTTAACAATTACCTTTCCAAGCAACTTCTTTAGGTCAACATGTGTTGTTAAACTACTCCTAGGGGGTTATAGGAGTTCCAAGTACATCCTATAAAATATAAAATTATTAAATTTCAATAATTTACGCATCAGATTATGATTTTAAAAAGCTCTTAAGCACATTTTAGCAATAGCAAAGAGTGAGAATTATGAATTATAATTAGTAGTTTACATGAAGTACTCATATTAAGATCGCTGTATATGTAACATTTGAGAATTTGAATTGAATTTAATCTTATTAAAATCTGTAATCTATAAGGAAATCCACCTTAAGTATATAATACTACATTAAAAGAATATTCCAAAATTATGTTACAGAATATCCAGACAAGGACCAGTCAATCTCCTGATGTTGGATCTGGAGTGCAGAGAAAATACTGATGACAGACTGTAACAGTAACTATTAAATGGAATCATTATTTTTTATAATCTCCTGTAAATATGTCAATATATTTTTGCAATTTGTTAACGATTAAAACACTATAACGATAAAATAAGGTAAATTATAACATGGGTAATGGAATAAATTAACTAGTTTACATTTATGCTACAAATTATACTTTATTATGTATTTTATTGATAAATACATTTTTAATGAATGGAAATAATTTGTTATTTTTAATGGGCATGGTATTGGAAATAAATTCATTGTATTTAAAAACAAAATGAAGGTTATTTCATTATTTAAATTATGTATTAGCTGCTGTTGAGAAGTTGAGAAGCTTTGTTTTCCTGAAATTCCTAATAGAGTCTATTGAATTTTTGTGCAGTGGTGTAAAAAGTTTATGATTAATAATATCGCTCACAAATAGTTTAAGACTTTGAAGGATCTCCATACTTTGGAGATGTTACCAAGAGGTCTTGCTCTCAATTCTGCATGTTCAGAAATTAAAGTTATCACTATATACAGGGGTGATTGGTCTCTAAAGAACTGACTACACCAGCAAAACTCACAAGGTAAACGGTAAATACAAAAAAAAACTGCAATCCCCACTGGATTACTTGAATTGCCTGGTCAGTATGTTCTTTTCCCTGTAGAAATGGCTACCGGGGAAACCAAGTTTATATTAGGAAGTTGTTTTTTAAAGTATAGAAACAAAGTTAAAAGTTGTGTAATTACAAAAAAAAATTATAGAATTAGACAGTCTTATACATCCTTTTATTTTCTCTCAACTGTTTCTACTTCAGGCTCTCACTGTTAACACAGGGACCAGCCCAGAGCAGGTCTGCCTCAGGCCAGCCTATAGTGTTGACTTCATGTAGGAAAGATTTCGCAAGTCCACATGATTTTGAGAGTACATTTGTTACAGTTGGGGACAGCAAAACAAAAGAAGGCCTTAGGATAGAAGAAGCAAAAGGACAGAGCCTAGGCGAAGCTGCTTTGGTTGTCTAGAAATGTTATAGGAAAGAAGTGAGCCAAGATGGGGCTGCAGGCAGCTCACTAGGAAATCACAGAAAAGGAAGGCCTTGGAAACAGGATCAGAGGTTAGCCTGGGATGAGCTGCCACTGTCCACTGCTCTCCTGGTTGCAAATCTTGTGGGGACTCATAGGATTTATGAGGAAGTAAATAGTTCGTGCCCAAGACAGGGCATGGGCATGCTCTAGAGGAAGCCCCACACCCCATCTTTGTCCTGAGAGCTTTTCTTTTCCGCAAGTAAGAATCTTAGGGCGAGTTTTCAGCAGAATATTCATTAGCATTCCAGGTGCATTTTTAATATGTTGATGCATCAAAATGAGCATATAAGGAGCTAGGGATTATTTTTTGGTCTGCTTTACTGTTTTACCTTGGGCCTATTTGGCTGTAACAGGATTTTCATTATTTGTACCCAGGGCTTCATCTGTCCTTGGGTTTAGCTGGCATAAATGATGTTAACTGGGTCTCTGTTCTCTATTTCCCTGACCAGAGTGACTTAAGCTATATATTATCTGGCTAGGGAGGAGACATATAAACCATTTTCTCTCAAATGTCCTTGGTTAAGGAAAAGAAGGTCTTGCAATTCACTAGCTAGCTATAAGTTGTTTAAATTGTTTGGCCTTGTTTAATTTTCATGTCTGTTTCCCTATTCTGCTTGCCTAGGACTTGTCCTAGATTCTTACATTCCTGTCACATTATTATGTTGCATATGGACTTTTTCAAGCTTAATTTCTTAACTTTGGCACCAATAAGACTGCTAGAATGGCATTTCTAAAGTGTGAGCAAAATGACCAGAGTGAAAATCTGTCTTATCAAGTTCATCTTAAAAGTTTTCAGAGCTTTCCCGTCAGCTGCTAGAAAAAATTTGTACTCCTTAGCATGGCACATAAGGCTTTTCATATTCTGAGTCCACACCACTTACCCAGCATCATCTTCACCACCTTTCCCACCACAACACTTAAACCAACACCAACTCTTTATAGTTCCCCAAATAACACCTGCTGTTTCCTGCCTCTCTGCCTAGACATACACTATATACCTTTAGCTTGGAATGCCTTCACTCTCACTCTACTACACCTTCCTAATAAACTTCTAGTTATTATTTTAAATTGTGCTCGTGTTGAACTTTCTCCAGTTTTTCCTGATAATCCGCTCTACTACTTCCTCTATATAAATTACATTCTTTGTACTCTGCATCGTAATTTTTTTTTGTGTGTATATATATCTGTTCTTCTAGATTAAAAGCTCCTGGAAGGTAGAGATTGTCATTCATTTCTGTAACCTATGGAATTAAAATATGGTACATAGTGGCAGATCAAAATAACGAAAAAAGGAAAAATTCATTTGTTCAATTATCAAGCCCCTATTATGTGCTAGATACTGCTCTATGTGCTAGGGATTCAATAAAAGATAAAACTAAGTATCTGTCATCTTGGAGCTTAAATTTTAGTGGCAAAGAAAGATTTTTAAACATAAAAATATATCATAAAGTATATACCATCAGATAATTATAAAGTATACTGAATGGAAACCAGAGCATAGTAAGGGGACAGTGAATGATGGCAATACTATCAGTAGAGACATAAAATGTCAAAAAAGGTCTCTGAAAGGATAACATTTTAGCAAATACCTGAGTGGAGTAAGAGAGCTAACTTTGGTGGCAGTGGGAGAATAGCATTCTACACAGAAGGACCCACAGCAAAAGACCTTATACAGAAACATGCTTAATATGTTTAAGGAATAGACAAGCTAGTGTGGCTAGTGAACAACAAGCAAGGCAAAATTAGTGGGAATGAGGTTAAAGAGGTAGCCACAAGGATGGAGTAGGTCTTGTAAACCATAGGAGGGACTTTGGAGTAAAGTGAATGAATCCCTTGCAGGGTTTAGAATAAGGGAGGGATGTGATTCTCTTAAAGGATCACTATAGTGTCTGGAGAACACACTTAGGGGAGGGAAAGTGGGGCAAGTATTTAAAAAGCAGAACCAATTAAAGAGTTTTTGCAATAACCTAAATGAGAGAAGTTTATGGCTTGGATCCGGTTAGTAACCGTGGAGGTAATAAGTGGTCAGATGAAGTAAATATTCCAAAATGCTTATGATGGATTGGATGTGAAGTATAGAAGAAAAAGAGGAATCAAGGATAATTCCAGTGGTTTTTCAGCTTGAATAGCTATGTGAATGATGGAACCATTTACTGAGATGGAGAATACAAGGGGAGAAGTAGGTTTTGATTGAAAACCAATTTTTAGATGTAATATGCCTATTAGCTATGCAAGTGGTGATATTGAATAGACTATTAAATATGCAAGGCTGGAATTCAAGGGTGAGGTCCTGGCTGAACATATAATTTTGGAATTATCAATGTGTAGGTGGTATTTACAGTCATGAATTGGGATAAAATTACCTGGAGAGTGTTGATAGAGAAGAGATCTGAGGAGCCAAGCAAAGAAGAAGGGAAAAATTAACTGGATCGAAGTTGATAATAAGTTTGACATAGATTAAGACCAAGAAACTCCCATTGGATTTGGCTACCTGCAGTTCACTAATGATTCCAGTGGCCAACTGGGACAAAACCTAATTGGAATGGGTTCAAGAGAGAGTAGAAAAAAAAGATAATAGCATATGATGAGCAATTTTATGGTAATAAATTGAAAAGTTAGACAAAATAGAATTGCTAAGCAGAATAATGGTCCCCCCAGATGTCTATGTTTCTCCTTGGAACTTGTGAATATATTGCATAACTTTACGTGGCAAAAGGAACTTTGCAGACATGACTAAGATATGGATCTTGAGGTGGGGATATTATCCCAGATTATCAGGGTTTGCCCAATGTAGTTATAAGAATCCTCATAAGTTAAATGGAAGGCAGGAGAGCCCGTGTCACAGTCAGAGCAAGATTTGATTATTGCTAAATTGCTGTGGATAGAGGAATAAGTGGGGAAAGGCGAAGAAACACATTGTCCTCTAGAGTCTAAAGAAGTAACTATGCCCTGAATTTAGTCCACTGAAACCCAGCTTACATTTATGACCCTCTTAACTCTGAGGTAATAGATTTGTATTGTTTTAAGCCCCTAAATTGGTGGTAATTTGTTATAGCAACAATAAGAAACTAGTTTTCCATACATGAGTTCTGGGGATTAGAATGTGAACATCTTTGGTGGGATCATTATTTTGTCTACCACAAACCCCAAAAGATACATATCCATCCCATATGCAAAATATATTCACCTCGTCCCAAGGTCGCCAAAGGCCTCATTAGATTACAGCATTAATTCAAATTAAAAAGTTTCATCTAAAATCTCAGCAGATGAAAAAAAAAAGTCCCAAATCTCACCATCTAAATTAGGTATGGGTGAGATGTAATTCCTCTCCATCTGTTTACCTGCAAAACTCAAAACCCGAGTTATCTGCTCTCAAAATGCAATGGTAAGACAGGCATGCTATATCAGTAGTGGGCATTTTCATTCAAGGGGAGAAGAAGGGAAAAAGGTCACTAGTCATAAGAAATTTCAAAATCCAGCTGGACAAACTCCATTAGATTCCAAAGTCAGAATACAATCCTCTGTTGTTAAATCCCTACCCCCTTGCTCTCCGCTCCACACTCTGGGCTATCCTGTCTCTCTCACGAAAGGTAGCACATGTTTGCTGCTGAGTAGTCCCATCAGCCTGTTTCATGCCTGTAGAATTTAGGATATCAGACAGCCTTCTTCCATTTCATATTCTCTCTGTCCCTTCTGGTCCAAGTTGACACTGTTTTTGCTGATATAAAATTCTCAAAAACCCTGTGGGTCTCCTGGGTATGTTATAGGAATTCACTTCATTTGAGAGTCTCACCAGTATTTTTGGTTTCTGCTGAGACAATGGAGGGAACTACAAGTAATACACTTAATCTCTTTACGGACGGTTTTTGTGACTGAATCTTCTTTCATTTTCTTGTGACTTTAGGGAAAGATTGTACAGCTACAT